CTAATAATTATAAGATAAACATAAAAGAATATTGATTGATTTCCACGAAACTAGGTGAAAACAGAACCAACTCAGAGCCCAGATAGTCGCAAGAAATAGATCCTGAATACCCAACAGGGGGCAGTGGTAGCAGTGGATAGCTACAACTAGAATGTGAAGCAATTCCCAATTTCTGCACTTAGGCCAATCGAAGAAGAGAGGGCAACATTAAGGGAAAGAGAAAGAAGAAAAATAGAAAAAAGTGGTGAAGGAGACATATAAGGTGAGAACCCTACATATAAACTTGATTTTGTTTTTTTCCTTTAATGCAGACCATGCTCGTGTCTTTCAACAATATACTTTGAATCTACTTAACATTGTTTGAGGTCGTGACAAAAGTTTTCAAGGATGTTACTCGATTTTTTGTTTGTGAAGTGTTTTCAAATTTACTGTCCTCAAATTTTATTCTCATGAGCTCTCATATTTACTGAAAATATATCCAAGTCTCTAGTGCAAAGATTTCAGAAGTTTTCTGGAACTAAATGTATGAGGAAATACGAACATAAGTGGAAGGAAAGTATCTTAGGCTGGGTTCTCTAGAAAAGCAAAACCAGTAAAGTGTATAAACATATGTATATAGAGAGATTTATATGAAGGAAATGGCTCACACAGTTGTACAGGCTGGAACGTCCCCAGTCCCTGGGTCAGGATGGAGGCTTCTCCTGATTCACATAGCTGCAGGGGCTGATGAACCCAAGATTGGCAGGTCAGGCAGCAGGGCTCTTGCTCACAGGCTGCGAAGATCAACAAATCCCCAAGATTGGCAGGCAGGATGGCACGTAAGCTGCTAGCTCAAATCCCAAGAACTGAAGGTCAGACAATCAGGAGCCAGCTGCAGGATCCAGAGCTACCAAAACCCTGAGCCTTGTCAGAGAGTCCACTTTTATTTGATGCAGGCCACACCCCCAAGGAAACTGTCTTTCAACTGATTGGCTACTCACAGCAGATCCGTTCATGGAGGTGATCACATTATATCAAATCTCATCATGGAAGTGGTCACATCATCATATGACTGCCAAACTGTATATAAATTAATATTTGTACAATTTTTTCTCAATATTCTTTGCCAACACCATAATTCAAATGAATCGATTCTTGTTCTGTTCTCCTTGTTCATCGCCCAGCTTTCACATGCATATGAGATGACTAAAATTAGCATGGCTTGAGTCAGGCACACCTTAGTCCTCAAAGTGACACCTTTGCTTTTCAACACTGTAAAGAGGTCTTTTGCAGCAGATTTGCCCAATGCAACACATCGTTATTTGATGTCTTAACTGCTGCTTCTGTGGGCATTGACTGTGGGTGCAAGTAAAATAAAATCACTGACAACTTCAATATTTTCTCTGTTTTCATGATGTTGCTTATTGGTCCAGTTGTGAGGATTTTTGTTTTCTTTACGTTAAGGTATAATACATACTGAAGGCTGTAGTCTTTAATCTTCATCAGAAGTGCTTCAAGTCGTCTTCGCTTTCAGCAAGCAAGGCTGTGTCATCTGCATAGCACAGGTTGTTAATGAGTCTTCCTCCAATCCTGATGCCACATTCTTTCTCATATAGTACACCTTCTCAGATTATTAAGAGTGAATAAGTATGGTGAAAGGATACAACCCTGACACACACCTTTCCTGATTTTAAACATGCAATATCCCTTTGTTCTGTTTGAAAGACTGCCTCTTGGTCTGTGTACAGGTTCCTCATGAGCACAATTTAATGTTCTGGAATTCCCATTCTTTGTAACGACATCCATAATTTGTTATGATCCACACAGTCCTGGCATAGTCAATAAAACACAGGTAAACATCTTCTGGTATTCTCTGTTTTCAGCCAAGATCCATCTGACACCAGAAATTATAATTCACAGGTGCTAATAAATAATTGAATTTCAAAAGAGTACACTGTTGAATAATTTCAGAGTAAGTTGTAAGCTAATTGTACAAATACTAACTAACTTTTCCTTCCAATTTTGTTATTTCCTCATACAATTGGTTCCAGAAGCCTTTTGAAATCTTTGTACTAGAGACTTGGATGTAGTTTCAGTAAATATGAGAGCGTGGTCATGAGAGTAAAATTTGAGAACAGCAAATTTGAAAGCACTTCACAAACAAATTTTAAAAAAATTGAGTAATATCCTTGGAAACTTTTGCCAAGAATTTAAATAATGTTAAGTAGATTCAAAATACATTGTTGAAAGACACAAGCATGGTCTATATTAAAGAAAAAAACAAAAACAAAGTAATCAAGTTTAAGTGTAGGGTTCTCACCTTACGTCTCCTCCACCACTTTTTCTATTTTTCTTCTTTCTCTTTCCCTTAATGTTGCCCTCTCTCCTTCAATTGGCCTAAGTGCAGAAATTAGGAATTGCTTCACATTCTAGTTGTAGCTATCCACTGCTAGCCCTGCCCCCTGTTGGGTATTCAGGATCTCTCTCTCATGATTATCTGGGCTCTGAGTTGGTTCTGTTTTCACCTAGTTTGGTGGCAATCTATCAATATTCTTTTGTGTTTACGTTATAAGAGTTTCAGCAAATGCAGAAATAACCAATTTGAACTCCACACTCACACAGAGCTCACTTCTAAAAAAGATACTAAGCTAGCTAATGTCTATGATGTATCACTGAACTTCCTGCCTATTTATAAAAAAGCATATACCAGTTACTAATGATGTGTAGAAGAGTGTCCTGAAAAAAAACAATAAAAAAGAAAACATGTTATATACAGTATCTCGTATTGATTCACTTTTATACACTTAGAACTGTAGGGGAAGACTGTCTTCTCTTGTACCTTTAATTATTTAGCGCTCCCAGTGAGGCCTGACACAGGCTGCCCCTTTTGACTACTACATTTCCATCCTGATCGCTCCCTCCCTTCTTCACTTGACTCATTTCCCATAAGGCCAAGCAAATGTTTCTCTTTTGTGAAGCCATCCCAGGTCTCCTGGACAGAGGTAGGGAGCTTTCCTCTGTGGTCTCACAGCACTTCCTCTGCATTTCTTTCCCAGTAGATTTCACGGTGATTTGTAAATCTTTACTCCAATAGCTTCCCATCTCGCTCTGAGTAAACATCAAAGCTTAGAATCACTACCCCTCATTTATAGTAGCTTTCTCATTAAATTTGGATTATTTATTCTAATGGCTTCCCATCCCCCATGGAATAGAAGTCAAGTGTGCCACCCCCCCAACCTCAGATACCCCCTTGGCCATCTCCCTCACCTCATTCATGTGTGTATTCAAGTATCACTCACATCACTATCTCTTAATTATCTTAATTGCTTTACGTTTTCCCAAGCACTATCATCATCTCACATGCCATATTTATTTACTTATTTATCTTGTTTATTGTCTATCTTCTCCACAAGAATGAAATCTCCTTAAGGCAAGATTTTGTCTGTTTTGTTCACAGGAGTTTCCCAGGACCTAGGATAGGGTCTGGACCCAGTAACCACTCAATAAACATTTCTTTAATGAATGAAATGGCAGTCTCCTTCACCATACTCTGAGGGCGGTAGAGCCAAGTATTGGTTTTATTCATTTTACCAAGTCCAGCACTTACCTGGCACAGAGTGTACATTCAATAAGAACTAGTTTCATTAATTCCCCCTTGGGGAGACAGGTCAATTCTAGGATAGTTTTAATGGGTTAATAAATAGCTGCTGTCAATCTGACTCCAACTCATGGCGACCTTTTGCAAACAGAACAAAACCCTGCCTGGTCCTGTGTCATCCTCACAATTGACAGCATGTTGGAGTCCATTGTTGTGGCTGTTGTGCCAATCCATCTCACTAAGGGTCTCCCTTCTCTCGCTGGCCCTTGACTTCACCAAATATGATGCTCTCTTCTAGTGATTGATCCCTCCTGATGACAAGTCCAAAGCAAGTGAGTCAGACAATGTTCTTTTGCGACCCATAAGGTTTTCACTGGCTAATTTGCAGAAGTACATCACCAGGCCTTTCTTCCTAGTCTGTCTTAGTCTGGAAACACTGCTGACACCTGTCCACCATGGATGACCCTGCTGGTATTTGAAATACCAGTGGCATAGCTTCCAGCATCACAGCAACATGCAAGCCAACACAATACAACAAACTGACAGCTGGTTTGTGGTTTCAACGGATAGAGATCAACGAAAGGTCAATTTCCACATGATTTCCCTCCTTCCACTTCATTACCCAGGATCACTTAGATTCGGTCCTATAAGGGCTTCAGGCTGTCCATGGATAGACTAGACATGCTAGAGGTGACTAGCAGGGTCAGGTACCAAGAACTGAGAAGAGTTTGCCTGAATTAGGAGGAAGGGTGGGAGTAGTGAGTGTGGTAAGGTGGCATAACGGAACGTGTGTGTGTGTGTGTGTGTGTGTGTGTGTGTGTGTGTGTGTGTGTGTG